CTTTATTTCCTCATTTATTGTTTCCTTATTTTCTAATAAAACTTAAATTTATTAATGTTTCTTTACCTAATAAATGTTTTCTAATTTTCCTTTATTTTCGCTCACGTCTGCGTTTCTCTTGGAAAGCCGTGCATCATTCCATCCTTATCTGCCTTTCACATACTTCAGACTTACTAGACCAGTCATTCACGACCGAGGAAGGACGGTCAGAGAGGCACGGGAGAACTGGGAGGGAGGGCGGAGAAGCGTGTAGATCCCAAAAACACGTTCAATGTTACCACTGCTCGGGGTCTTGTAGCCATGGCAGTTGATGTATTTTGAAATTTCGGAAAACATAAAAGGATGCACATGTTTTTAAATGTTGATTCTCATAAGGGAGCATGAGTTAAAACAAGTTTGACAAACACTGTCCCTAAACCCATGTTGCTTTACACTAGAGTTGGGTAGCACAAGGAAACGTCAGCTCACACCTGAGCAAATCAAAATTCTAGGAATTCTTTGTCCTGAAGAAGATAATAATGAATAACATGCCCCTGCAGAATAATCTACTGACAACTTTAATCAAAATAAGTTTAGAATTTAAGTTTGACATACGCAAAGTAGGAAGTTTGCTACCTACCGAGAGCATGCCTATACTTATCACCAGAAGTAGGTCTACTTAAAAAGTTAACAAGCATTTCAGGCTTAATGATCTTATAAACCCGTTGCCGTCAAGTCGATTCCAACTCATGGCAACCCTACAGGACAGAGTAGAACTGCCCCATAGGGTTTCCAAGGAGCAGCTGGTGGATTCCAGCTGCTGACCTTTTGGTTAGCAGCCGAGCTCTTAACCTCTGTGCCAAAGTTCTTAGGTCACTTTCTTTTCAGCCACTTTTCATCCACAAGAAAGTCCACAGCCATAACCTTTTTTTTTTTTAACAACATTAGCAGGATTAATAACAGTAAAAGGGCAGATTATTAAAAATTGCAGGTCATCACTACACCACCGTTCTCAATGATTTCTGGGCCCATGGGAGCAGCAGAGTTGAAGGTTAAGGACTAGTCGGAAACTTCCTTAACCTGTTGGCAGCGGTCACCACGTAGAAATGTTTCTTGAGATAAGGAGAAAGAAAAGAAAAGGAAACGCGTGTTTTTAGACCAATTGCTTTAAGTAGAAACGATGAAAGAACTTAAACCTGTCTAGCCACTCAAATTTGTTTAAAACAGATAACCTAAAGGGGAAAACAAGCTTCCAGAATAATTACAGTAGGAAACTCACATGGTCTTCAGGGGCATATGTGGAGTAAACAGGAAGTGAGAAGAGATGTCATCCTGCCCTTTTGATGTGAAAAATGGAGCACCCTAGAACAGTGTTTTTGGAATCGTGGCCTCACAACCCACCAGCGGATCATGAAATCAAACTGGTGGGTTGTAACCAGAATTTTTTAATAATGAAACCAAACAGCATAGAATAGAAAATCTCAAAGCGCATCATACTCTGTTAGGGAAAACCTTGTGAAATTTCATTTCCGGTACGTGTGTACATATATACATATGCTTCCATGCTGGCTTCCTAGGTAAAGCGTTGTGTTTTTATTTACTACTGAGGATTTGGGAAGCCCTGGTGGTGCAGTGGTTAAGAGCTCGGCTGCTAACCAAAAGGTCGACGGTTCGAATCCACCAGGCGCTCCTCGGAAACCCTACGGGGCAGTTCTGCTCTGTCCTTTAGGGTCACTATGAGTCAGAATCGACTCGACAGCAACAGCTACCGAGGATTTGAGTCAGTATCAAAATGCTGGAAAGCCACTTCCCCAGAGGAACAGTTGCTTCTTGCTTTTAAGGTCGGTTTGTGTCCACGATACCAAAGAGTTCTGTTGCTAAAACATCAAAAAGCTTTTGAAGCTTAGGAGAGCTTTCCCGCCCCCGAATCTGAAACACGGAGGAAGCGGGCCCCAAACTATAAGTAGTCAGCTCCAGGAGCCTCACCACTGCCACCATCGAGAACACACGCTCGAAATCCCATGTCACTTCAAGTGGCCACATAAGTTCCAGTGAAATGCCACTTTTATGACAGTTATGCTTTGGTCTGTGGCATTTTTAATCAACAGCTTTTAACGGGAGGGAGTTTATTATAGATGGAATTATGTTCCCTCCTCGCCCCCAAAAATATATGTTGAAGTCCTAACCCCTGTACCTGTACTGTGACCCTGTTTGAAAATAGGAGTTACCTTCTGTTATGTTAATAGAGCCAACTGGAGTAGGGAGGGAGTGTGGGCGGGACCCAATGTCATGCAGTATAGTGACCCCGTAGGACAGAGAACTGCCCCATAGGTTTCCAAAGAGTGGCTGGGGGATTCAAACTGCAGACCTTTTGGTTAGCAGCCGAACTTTTAGCCACCTAACCAGAGAAGAGTGGATCCTAAACCTAATCTCTTCTGAGCTGTGTCTTGTAAAAAGAGCAGAACAGACACAGTGACACACAGACCGGGGGAAACATTTCTCTGTAAGCCAAGGAATGTCCAGGGATGCCCAGAGCTACCACCAAGGAGTGACCCTCCCCCAGAGCCGATGGCTCCATCTGGACTTCCAGCCGCCCAAACTGTAAGGTAATAAATTCTCGTTCTTTAAAGCTACCGCCTTGTGGTATCTGTGCTATGGTAGCAATGGGTAACAAGACAGAATTTTTTCTTTTTCCGAAACAATCTTTCCATTCAAAATCAAAATGTAAGTAATGGGGAGAGCAATGAGAGTCACATAACAATGTATGTATAAATTTTTGTATGGGAAAAAATAAAAATAAAATCAATATAGCTAATTTAAAAAAAATCAAAATGTAAGTAAAAGCTTAGCTACAACTCTTCAAAGGCTAGATTAAGGAGACAATTGCTATCTTTCCTAAAAGGAAGACAGAATACCTTCCATTTTCTCTGAGCCATGTATTTCTGCAGCAACAGTTGGGATTTGAGACGAACTTTGGATTCTGAAGCTTTGGCAGGTAGATTATTCAGCCAGTCGTGTTTCAGACACTGCGTGGCGCTCATTCTGCAGCTGTGAAATCAAACAGCAGTTGAGACCCTGGGCTGGGGCTGCCTTTTCTGGTTCTGCAAAGTCCATGCGGCTGGGCAGGAAGCGGAGTCGGGGAACAGGTTCAGCCTCTAGGCAGATTGGCGCCACACACCAAAAACGGACGCCTCGTGTCTAAAACTCCCCTCCTTAAAGCAAGCCCTGAGCAAAACGTTCCCTGCCCCTGCAGAGGGGCGTCTAGCAGTGATTAATCAGCACCTCTCAGAGAGGACTGGGAAGCTGAAGTGGGCGCGGGAAGGCCAGGAGGCTGCGGTTGCTGTGAAGAAGAAGAGGGACGTGATGCTGGAAAGGGCTGGAGCCCATTTCTCCCTCCAGGGAACAATGCCAGCCTGCTCACCTCATTCAGGAACAGTTTTTCTCTCACGTAACTTTTCACAATCAGAAGAAGCAAAATCATGAAAGTCGGGGAAATGTGGCCTGTCTCAGAGCCCAGACTCTTGGGTCTCACTCCGAGGTCATTTATAACCAAAAAGAAAACCCAAACCCGCTTCCGTCGAGTCAATTCCAACTTATGTCAGAGTAGAGCTGCACTCCATAGGGTTTTCAATGGCTACAATCTGACATAAAGGCCCCTGGGTGGCGCAAACAGTTTGCGCTCGACTATTCACCTAAAGGTTGTCGGTCCGAACCCACCCAGTGCTGCCACAAAAGAAAGGCCTGGAGATCTGCTTCTATAAAGATTATAGCTCAGAAAACCCTATGGAGCAGTTCTAGTCTGTAACACATGGGGTCGCCACGAGACAGAATGGACTGGAAGGCAATGGACTGTTTTCGTTTTGTTTTTATCTCACGGAAGTAGATTGCCAGGCCTTCCTTTCGAGGCACCGTTGGGTGGTTTTGAACCACCAACCTTCAGGTTAGTAGCTGAGGGCAAATCATTTGCACTACCCAGGTCATTTCTACCTCTGGTTGTGTCCAGTCACGACTTTATGTCTGAGTATCAAGAAACTCAGTGCAGCTCACTCAACCCTGGCCTTGATACAGCTGCTGAAGACAAAATCGGCCTTCATCACCAAGAAACTTTTCTGGTCTTTATTTTGGGGAATAGCATCTATATAAAGGAGCCCAGGTGGTGCAATGGTTAAATCAATCAACTGCTAACCGAAAAGTCGGCAGTTCAAGACCACCAGTGGCTCCGTGGGAGAAAGATGTGGCAGTCTGCTTCCGTAGAGATGTACAGCCTTGGAAACCCTATGGGCTGGTCGTGTGTCGAATTTGACTTGACAGTAGTGGGTTAGTTGGAGCATCTACGTACCTCAACTTTTTTTCAACATTAGTCTATTAAAAGTGATAACTTGGAAACAGGACCATTTTGTAAATATACTTCTGTCTAAAGCTCTAAATATTATGCTCCTCATTGCTTTGGAGTTGGTTTCCTTAGCTCCTTTCCCTGCTTCTTTTACTGCCCCAAAGAAGTAGCAGACTAGGACTCCTGAACAGAGCCAGGCCACGGGGAGGAAGGACCTTCAGCTTCCACAGCCCTGCTACCCCGCACCCAGCTACCCCTCACCCGCCTGAAAGTCCACAGTGCCCAAACCAGGAGTCATATGCCAGTGACAAGCTATAAAAGTACCTCTTCTCCTTGACCAGCAGCCGGGAAACAAAGTCCTTGGCCTCCTCCGACAGCCCTTCAAAGGTGTCCGCGTCGAAATCCCAGCTACAGTTCACGATGAAGTTCATGGTCTCCGCATCTGTTTCCCCTAGAAACGGGGACAGACCACTGAGTCTGCGGAGGAGAGAAAGCGCCATCAGTATGTGGATGCCAGGTTTGCCAACGCGACGGACGGAACAGAGGAGAAACCTACAGTGTTCAAGCAGGACTAGTCAGAACAAAGGGGGTTCCAAGTCCTGTGACTTCTCCACAGGAGAGATTCTGGTGGAAAGGAGAGAAATTTGGAGGCAGGAAGGGTATTCAGAATGAGTCTCCTATCATGCTCCCCTCTCTTTCCTGCCTCCTTGAAATATAGAGTAAATTGAGGCCCAACCCAATACATCCAGTTAGGTGTGTATTGATTTAATTTAAAAACAGCTTACTATGTCTCTGAGACAGCCAGACTGGGACAGATACGACCCAGGCCTCTGGGGCCAAAAGAAAATTGACTGTTTTTAGGCAGAAAGGCAGGACAACCTATCTGACTGGCCTTGAGCCCCCATTGCCCCGGCCTCGTGCGGCGTACCCATACAAAGCGTAGCAGTTACACTGTATGCTAATACCATATGGAAGCAAAGCGTGATTCTGTCAGGCCTCTGAGGAAACAACCACGGGAAGCCCACAGTGGAAGAGAGAGGAGGGTGTTTAGTTTGTACACCAAGCCCTTGTCAGCCCACAGAAAACAGGGAGAGCAGGGCCAGAAGCGACCAGGTTAGATCATGCAGCAGACAGCGTCCTGCCCTGCCTGTCCCCTGTCCTTTCTCCTGCAGTGTCCTCCAGGCCCCGGCCAGCACCTGCTTTTCTTTTCTGGAGGGCTTTCTCTCAAGCCGAAGCCTGCTTTACCTACCCAGCAGTGCCAGGGAATTAATGCCCGCCAGAATCAGCCCACTAGTAGTGACTGGTATAAGCACCCCTACTCCCTCACCCTCAGATGGAGTAACCCCGAAAGGCTGATCCTTCCACCTGGGCGCCAGTGTTCCCCAGCAGGCCTGAGCCCAGCTGCCCACAGAAGTACGTGGCTCCGTAACACACCCTGTATTGCCTGCTTTCCCTGATTCCTCTCACTTCCCCACTTCTCACTGGTGATTCCTGGGATTGCACCCCCCTCCCCAAATAAACTAAAATTCTTGCTGCTTCAGAGGGTGCCCACACTAAGACAGAAGGCCCTCCCCGCTGGGGAGCCGGCTGCCCGGACACTCACAGCATGTAGGTGATGACGCCCATGCTCCACATGTCAGTGGGGAAAGAAACAAACTCGTAGTTGACGACTTCCGGGGCCAGGAACTCAGGGGTGCCGAAGTTTACCTTCAGCTTCTCCCGAGGCTTGTACCTGGGGAACAGGGGTGCAGAGGGCTGTGGGAGTGTGTCCTGGGAGGAGATGCGATGCTGGGGCTCATTCCTGGTGGGAGGTGGACACTCCCCGGCCCTTCCTCACACCCCCTACACATGTGGTTTCCTGGGGGATCATCATGCCCCAAGCCCAAACTTCAGGCTTTCCCGAGTCACTGGGGATTCAGAAAACCACAGTCCTCCTTGGCGAGGCATCTGCAACCTGCAAAGGAGAGAAGATCAATCCGTCCTATTTGGCATGCCGCCGCGCGAGTGAGCACAGATAGCCAGAGGAGAGGCCCGGTGGAGGACTGCTTTCCTCAGCGCCCGGCGTCCTTGGAGGATGAAGTCAGAAAGAGAAAGCTTTCTGAACGTGAAGTCAGAGCAGGGCTGAGAGCTGATGGCTGAGCAGGAAGGAAGCAGCAAAAGGCATGTTTTAGAATCACTTTTTTTTTTTTTTTCCAACTGGGGACAAATAAGAGTTTATTGCAAATATGTCATCCAAATCTCAATGGGATTGGCTTCATTGAAAAACAACAGGAAAATATTAGACCTCTAGTAAATCAGCTGCAATATCAGACATTTGAATTTCAAAAATGTAGTACTCAAAGATTGCTAACACCACCATTTAAATCTCCACAGTGGTTTGTTCAAAATAAAAGTCACGCTACTTTTAGGAGTTATGGATAATGTAAAGAGAGGGTAAAAACAGCCCAAGACGCGTCAGTTTAGACTATTCATTAGAATCTATTTAACATTTATTGTGAAATCTCAAAGCAAAAGCAGATTTCCAAAATTTCACCAAATTATTTTCATGGACAATTTAACAGAATCAGTATAACACGTCTCAGCATCCACTACAATTAATTAATTAATCCATCAATTAATGACTACAAATTATTTGTTAATAAACCCTTTATTTTAAAATAATTGTAGCTTTACATACAAATTGCAAAGGTAATACAGAGACTTTTCATATACTTCTTACAACCTCCCCCTAATATTAGTTACTGATGATACATTTGTCAAAACTAAGAAACCAACATGAGTACAGTACTATTTTTAGTAGTGAAACTTTAATTGTATGATGTAGCTAACAATTATTCAAATAATGATATTAAGCACATAACATGCCCTTTTTGAAGGAAAAAAACCACCATTTTGACTAAATAATAATACCTTGAAATTAAGTTTTAGACGTATAGCCCTACATTGGCTTCTCTTCAGATGAATTGAAGATAAACTAATTTGGACAGAATTTATAATGAAATCTCAGATGAAAGCTGTTGTACCTTCCATGTTGAGATTAATTCTAATTTATATTAGGCACGGTGGCACCATTTTTTAAGTGCTACAGGACTCCAAGGAAGGTTGATTGGTGGAGACAGTTTTTCCAATAGGATTTTAATATACCTCAAGAATTTTTTTTTCTAATTCACTCAAGTTGTTCCTATCCCTAAATTTTTTTAACAAAACCAAAAATTCATTATTTGGCAAAAGATTTTTTTTCCTGTTTGTGTATTAATGTGTAGCTAAAATTATTTAAAACACATTTATATTTACATGTTATGAACGGCCCTTGTTGAAAAGAAGAGTTCATGAAATAGAGAATGTTCTGTAAAGCGCAGATTGTATAGCTGCCATATCCATGGCAACCAAGTAACTTGTTGAACCTGGTCCCCCAGGGGTAATATATTTCTTACTTGTGGAATGGTCTGCTGCTCTTGAGGCAATCAAGAAAGGAGAAACAAAATGTCCTTCCATGAAAACAAAACAAACTTAAATTCCACATAGAGGATCAGACTTTGGTGTCGGATCCAATTTTACCCTTGCGGGAGGTTTTACATTGGATCTATAATATGGGAGGCAAGATTTTGGGTTCTGATGCGTTTGTCTTTCAGAGAGATCTATTACTTTAGCCATTTTTGTAGGATCTGGAAGATTTTTTTCTCGTGCTTGAATTAATTCAGCTGAATCATTATCCGTTTGTTCGTTCATATCTCTACAGTGTGCTTCACCTGAGAGGTAGTCCTTGAATCCGTGGTCTGTGCTAGGATTTTAAAGAGTCAGAAAGGACTTCCAAAGTATCATTGTAACTTGCATCAAGGCAAGGCATATTAAAATGCTTGAGTATTAAATTTGTAATTCTTCTGTATCTATAATACGGTGAACCAAGGGAGGTGTTACTCATTGTGTCACAAAAGTTATCAACGCTGATCAGATTGTGTTTTCCCTTATTTTTCTGAACAACGAATGCAAAAAGCGCCATCACCCTCTTTAGGAAAATAACTGTGTCCATTTCTGAGTGAATTTTAAGAGGATCACATAACCTTTTGAGACTGAGGCAGCTCAGCTTCTTGTGTCCCTTGTCTCTTCGGCTTCTGTTGCCTGTGGCCTCTCGGCCCTTGGGCCTCACACCCGCATCTGCACTGCGGGGGCAAGTGTTCCAAAGCTCTGTAGCTCCACCAGTATAAGTGCCCAGAGGCACCCCACTCTGCCAGGAAGCCTCCTGCACACAGGCACTCAGCTCCCTCGCTCCGTGGGGCGGCCCCAGTGCCTTCTGGCACTGGTCTCTTGGTTCTGCTGCTGTTGGTTCTTTGCTGCTGCCGCTTCTCTGCCGCAGCCGCTTCTCTGCCGCTGGAGGTTCTCTACCACCGCCGCACATCTATCCATTCACAGTTTCAAAACCGCTTCCACATTTTAGGTATCTGTTAGAGCAGCACCGCACTCTCTCGGTACCAAATTCTGTCTCAGTCATCTAGTGCTGCCATAACAGAAACACCACAAGTGGATGGTTTTAACGAAGGGAAGTTTATTTTCTCA